TACAAATAAAACATGATTTTAGGTAGAATTGCTAATATTTATAATAGATGTTTAATTTTGTAATAAAAACTGAAATTTATGGTGTATGGAGTAATTTTCTCAAAAAATTTAGCAACATCACAACTTTATGTCCTCAAATTTACAATGTGATCATAAATGTTGTAATGATGTGAACATAATTAATGTATACAATGTAGAAAAGAATGTAGTTCATCAACATTCTCCCACACACTCTAACTAGTCAACGAAGAGAAGAGAGAGAAATATTTTTTACCATTTTTAAGTTATTTAATTATTTAACTAAAATTTTCTTACTTCTTATTAAAATTTTAATATTTGGTAAGTAGATAATACTATAGTTAGACTACTTTGTGCATTAGATATGATTTTTTAATTTCATAGTTGTGAACTTAACATTTTTCCTACATGATTCACAATCAATTTAATTTATTGACATTTTTCATAATCCTCCCTATATATAATTCCCGAATGCGCTGAGCCTACGTGGCTGCTTCTGGTGCTTCGGAATCCTACTTGGCAAAGAATCATGCTTCGTAATTAGGTTTGAACAAATAATATTGATATATTAATAATTAATAATCTAGGTTCGGACATTCCATAAATATTAATTAGCTAACTTAGGTATTTTAATATTACTTTTGCTAATATAACCATTTAATTCTTTGTAATTTTACATAGTGAGGCACTAAATGACTAATATATCCATGACTTTTGATTTGTTTCCTTCAATTAGCTATTGAATTGTAAATGTATTTTAAAAGTTGATAACTTTTGTATTTCTTATCGGTCGTACATATATAATATATCAAATTAATCATCTTTTGATGATCTTCGATTTAACATCCATATTGTATATATGAAATAAATAAATTATATTTATCTTTATAATAATAAAAAATAATAGTATTTATTAAAATTCATTAGAAAAATAAAATTATTTTTCAATTGATATATTTATGTTTACTGTAGTTATATGTTGTAAGTTAAAAAAATTATTATAATATAACACATGTAAGTCGCACAAATAAAAAGTGTCATACTAAATATATAATAATATATATATTTATATAAAAGGTATTTAAATTTTCAACTACTTTTTTTCATTAATTTTAGATTTTTTAAAAAAAAAATTAGCAAGCACTCGTGTAATACACGGGCGTTGTACTAGTTTATTCTATAGCAACATAGAGCATTGAAGATGCTCTAAGTGTGTGTTGAGAATCCTATGTGAAATTTTTTCATGTTATATTACTTGACTTAAATAAGTTTCAATTTATTTCCAATCCGAAAATAACTAGACTTGCAATATTCATATACTAGTATTCAATCTTGTACATTTGCACAAATACATTATAAATTATTTATACGTATATGATATTTAAATTATAAGTTAGATAATAGTATTACATTTTAAAACATAAATTATTATAATATTATAAGTTATATTTATGCATATAATATTAAATCTATAAGTTCGTTCATAGTATTATGTTTTAAAATTTGATCATTTGTTAAAATAAATAGTATATTACGATTGATTGCATACGAATCACTGTATTAATTGCATAAAATTTACTAAGTAATGTAATTTTTTTAATTTCGAGGGATCATGTCCAATTAATTAGATGAAAAATGTTAAATTTATTACAACAATTGCTTATAGAATTTTAAGAAATTTTACTACAACAGTAAAAAATTAATCTATTTAAAAAAAAACTAAATACTTAAACAATTTGTTTATGTAACTTTCACATATCACTTAGTATAAAATATAATTATTAATTTTGTTAATAACTATTATATGACTCAACAAAAAAATATAATTATTACTCAATAAATACAAAATATATTTTTTTTGTTTTAAAAAAATAAAATTATTACTCAACTAATACAAAATATATTTTTTTTGTTTTAATCAACCCTAAAAAATGTAACTAAATAATTTATCATTAATGAGATAGGGTGGATTAATGTCACATAGGTAAATTTAGTGGGTTTTATTTATTAAGTTATATTTAATGATTTGCCACAAAGGTAAAATTTATTAGGTTTTATTTATTAAGTTATATTTAATGATTTGCCACATAGGTAAAATTTTTTAAGTTTTATTTATTAGGTAAAACTAAATGAAATGCTAGCAATTGCATATACTAGTATTCGATCTTGTGTACATGCACATATGTTTAAATTATTATAAGTTATATGCATACATATAATATTAAAATTATAGTTAGATAATAGTATCACATTTAAAACTTTTGTCATTAAAAAAATAAACATTATAAAAGTATTCAACTTCATCACTATATTGATTACATAAAATGAAATGGATAAGGTAGTTTTTATAAATTTGAAAGATCATGATTGTATTTATCGTTTGGAAAAAAAAAAAGAAAGATCATGATTGTAAGCCCTGAACCAATTTTCTGTATATTAGCTCGACTTTATTTCCAGAAATAGTAAGTTCATAATTATGCTGAGTTTTATTTATTAATAGTATTTAATTTATCGAGCCAAATTATTAGTTCGAGACTTGTTGTGTTGTTGTGGTTCTCTCTCACGGTGTGTAACTCGGTTTTCAGTTATGTGCACCACATGAGTTGTGTACTAATTTTAAATAGACATTTTTATGTAATTTTGTACAATATTACTTTATATAATATTTTCAGTAAATTAAAATATGTAATGCATGGTATTACATATTGATTCTATATTTTTAATTTGTAAATATTACTTAATAAGAGTTTTTAATTTATAAATATTAGTGAATATCTCTTACCCGTGCATTGCACGAGACTCAAAATAATATGTTATTAAATTGAGAAAATTTTCTATACATTTTTATCTTTATTTTAAATTTAATATTCATATTTCTTATGAATTTATCTTTCTTTTTTTATTTTTT